AGAGGGAATGATGCAGGCCTGCAGAACTATGAGCAAGGTAAGACTAGAACAGTGATCCCAAGAGGGAATGATGCAGGCCTGCAGAACTATGAGCAAGGTAAGACTAGAACAGTGATCCCAAGAGGAAATGATGCAGGCCTGCAGAACTATGAGCAAGGTAAGACTAGAACAGTGAGCCGGCCCATGCCGACATTCCCAAGCGAATGCAGTGATGTAGGAGTGAGTTCCAGAAGCAGTTTCCTAAACACAGGGATACTCCCGTGTCAACAAGCTTTTGCTTATGAGTGTGTTCTTACCCATTGTCATACCTTCTCGTCTAGAGGCACATTGTCTCTCTCATCCCATTAATACTGTTTCTCAGATCTGCTAGATTTGGGGTAACAAAGGTAGGGTCCCACTTTAGGATAGTCAGTAGTGATACTTGACTGATGGAAAAGTTGAGACCATGCTGCAGAGGTACTTTGGAGAGCTCATCTGAAAATCTGGGGATGTAGTGACTTCATATTACCAGCATTTCATGGTGGTACATGGGTAACATCAGGCCTGAGCAGAGAACTGTTCATTCTGAAAGATGCTATATCTAACCATGTCTCCAAGGCCCAGCAGCTGCAGAGCTCTGTGCTAATCCTGGCCTCCCCCCCCCCCCAAAGTGAAAATATCACTGTGACATTGTGCTTTTTTGGGAGGCACTTAGACAGCTTGGCTACCTGATTTTAGCAGAGCTGGAGACTTCACTAAGTGCTGTCAATGATAAACACAATGACCCCAATTATAAAACATCACCCCAGCTAATTTGGATTTGTAACCAACCAGAAGAGATTAAATATTAGGAATATTACAGTGTATTAGATCATTTCTTCCACATCTTTTTATCAGTATTATTTTAGGGGAAATAATAATTTAAAGTCACTAACTGTCTTTCATTTGTTCCAATCATTAAATTGTGTGTCTATTTTAAGGATTATATAGATTATTTTGTCCACCTGAATAATATCCATCCATATATCCCACCCACTGTAAAGCACAGCCATTCAGAAATAAAAATAGAGTTATTTTTATCTTTTAGTATTGTGTAATATGTGAAGGACATATAAAATTTTATATAGTGGTTAGAATCTGACACTGGGCCATGGAAATTTCCAGAATAATTACACACAAAATGAGCACCATAGTGCTTTTACTGTGGAATCATCGGTACAGTAATCAAATGGCTTGTTGCTATGTCTCAGTGTTTGTTGCTGTATCCAAGTATTGCACGATGAATCAGAGCTCGCACTCCTTGTGCTACACCAAGCCAATAACCTTTGCAGGTCCCCTCAGATGGGGGCAGGGTGGTGATAGTGTCCTCTTACCAGAGTCCATGACAGCTGCCCTTCTGCTGGGCACTTCAGAGGCCTGGGTGAGACCCAAACTTAATAACGACTGCACAAAAAGACAGGAAAAAAGGTGAATCATTTAGAGGCTGTACTCATAAGAAGGCTGGTGTACTTGTGTGTTTTCCGAACTGCTAGGAAAACAGAACTGAAATGGGAAAGATTTTTCACTGTTTTCCTGTTATGTTCAGTCCAGGCACAATGTGACCTCATTCTTGGCAGCGGTGTGAGTTAAACACCCCAGGAGCCAAACTGAGACTTTCCATACCTGCTTTTTATTCCACCTTCAGCATAATGGAACATTCTTGTTTTGTTTTTCTCCCTTTTTGCCTTTCCAGTGTAGGGTAACACTGATTTACTTGAAGTTCTGCTTCTAGCTGCAGTAGCTTTCAGCTACAATTTGTTTCATGATTTTTGCTTTTCTCCACTAAAGCAAGCTTTGCTCATACTTAGCGTACAACAAGCAGGTCCTCCAACTTACAGGGAAACTTGGGAGGTGGTGGCAGGATTGGCAACTCCAGCCACTGGAAAAAAAACATCACACTGGTCCATACCGACTACTGTGGTGCTGAAGTATCATCCACCGCATGGCTGCACTCAGGTTCTCATCCCTGAGGTGGTTTGTCATGTGGTGGGTGTGGCAACACGCTGTATCAGTGCATACTCCTTACCTCCTCATCAGAATAACCAGTTGTGTGGAAGCTGTCCAAGTAAATCATGCACTAATACAAAGTGAAAAATAATCAGATACATTTAAATTTCATTATTCTGTGTTATTAAATTGATCCCAATCATAATATGCAGCTGTCAAATGATTTCTGTAATTTTATAACTTTTTGTGCTGTTGATACTTCACTTATTCCCACTTTATTATATTGTCTTTGTTCAACATACAATGTAAGCTTAAGTTCACAATGTCGGAAGTGTCATTTGATCAAAATGTTAATTATTGCTATTTTTGTCTGTTACAAAGAACTCCTTCATACTTTCTAGATTCTAAATGAGTATTTTAAATAATCACACTGTAGACCAGCTAAAGATGAAGTTGCTGTTTTCCAATAAATGAGTGCCTATTCTTTTTTCGAAAATAGGAATGTAGGCTTTTTATTCTCAAGTGCTGAACGACCCATAAATAAATTTAAAGAAGATAAAACACATGATTAGAGTCTACTAAATCCAGTGCTGTGGATTGGACTGGTGTCACCCAGTCACATCCTTCGCATTGAAGGATAACCAGTTTTTTGTTAGTTTGTCATTTTTGGGCACAGAACATTCCCTGATAGTAGCCTACTACTACTACTGTGTGTAAAAACTGCATTCTTTTGGTATGCCAGGGGAGTTATTTTGACTGCCACTTAATTCTGGCCACTGTTTATCTAGTGAACATATCTGATTGTGGTCTGTTATGAGATTAGAAGGTGACAATGTACACTACTGTTTGACCAATATGCTAATTTTAGTCAAGAAGATGTGTTATGATGATGTCTTGCCACTTACAATGAACTGACCTGGATATTTTTGAATATGTCAAAAAGTCAATTTTCTGTAACTTTTGTTTGCCTTATTGAGTTGATTCTTTTGATTTTGGTCATACCTATGTCTTTTTACTCTGTTGGTACTTAAGCACCCTTAGTTAATCTCAGTGGGAGATTGTTAGGATAGTACTACTTTCAAGGTAATTTTCAACAACATGATTGAAAATGTGATTAATTGTCCTATTAATCATGATTAAGAAAATGATTCATTTGATAACCCAAATAAAATCTAAAGTGAGAAAAAATACTGTGTGAATCATTAAAGATTAAACTTCACACTTAACATGAATGAACTTGAGTAGAAGAGACTCATTGAATTGTATTGGCGTGATATGATTCTGCTTGACCACATCCCAGAAGAATAATAGCATGATTTTTTTCTCTCTCTCATCCCAGTGTCTGGAGGTTCAGAGCCTGCTGTATGGTCCCCAGCACAAAAAGACTCGCGTCATACAGCAAACTGTAGACCTGCTGTCCAAGTAAGTCAGCTTTAGTCAAAACTCATCTTCATCTATTAATAGCCGATATACACGCAGTGGCCAGATAATGTGTTTATTTTTGATGTTAAATTGAACAGTAAATGAACCTTGACCCTGTCTGTGTGCTGTGTATATGGCGCTGTGGCCACATGACTGCAGCAAAGGCATGGATACCCTGGCAGATTCAGGGGGCCGTTGTATACGTAAAATCATATGTAGAATTGGGCAGGGGGGGCTCAGAATTTCTAGCGACTCCCCTGTCCATAATCAGTATAAATACTTTTATTTGTAATAACATTATGTGCAAAACTAACTTATTGGTTTGTTGTAGGGCTCCAGAAGTTGCCGGCAGACATCATAAGGCAGACAGAATGAAACACAGGCCTCCTTTCTCTGCTGTGGTACCTTCTCATCTTCCAGCAGGAGCAGCTCTCAGTCCATCTGACTCTGAGCATCTTAAAAAAAACATCTAACTAATGCCAAAGTTGCTCGATGATAAGTTCAAAAGGAAAGAGATTGACTTTAACATGTTTTGCTTATGATTCAAACTAACAGTGCTATCCATTTAATATTATCTAATTAACCTGGTAAGCAAAAATAAACTGAAGACAGTTAGGATTTGGTGATGTTACAGGGAAAATTACCATGTGTTTATGTAAGAGAACAGGTTTCAGACAGTTCTGCAGATCTGCCTTAGTGTAATAAATACCTGTAACCACTGTGCACTTCTTGAATACCAGAGACCCAAACACCATAACACTGTAAGATATGTTTTATTTGTACGACTGATCAATGCTCGAAGAATGTATATTATGTGGGGGGGAAAGATTCATCATCCTTATTTAGCCAACAATGTGTGGCATTTCTTTAGCACATCAGGTTTTAGAAGCATGTTACAGGGCATGTACATCTGGCCTGCTCATTCAAGCCAAGCTATTCCCAATAACACTGTTCCTTCAATCACTAGAGGTTTTGAGATGTATCACTAATGTTAGAATAAAAGAACATTACAAGAAACATTTTCCATGTGAGCATTTTCTTATCCATCATTATGTTACAATGTATTTACTTATTGCTATAGGTCTATTGATAACTGTAGCTGTACCAGTATATATACTATTTTTAACAGAGCAGTAACCTTGGGTATGGTTCATTGTGATGATGCATTTTTAGGGGAAAGATCTCTATGAAATTCATATTTGTTTCTTCGGTCTTCATTCTATCAAAAGATGGTGATATTTTGCTGCCTAATGTCTAATGACATTTTATAATTAAAAGATCATAAATCACAAGGGAAAAAAGCATCATTTTTTCAGCTGCAGAACTGAGTCATCATAACTAAAACTGAGTGTTGATATACTTGGTTTTAATAATTTTGTAAAATGATTTAATTATATAAATGAATACCGTAAGTTGTATAATCAACTTTAAAAAAACTTCTGCTCTGATATACCCGTAACTAAACTCCCTCTATAATGCATTTACTGTCTTTATATTTCTAGAGCTATGTTATAGATTAATATTTCTATGAGGTGCCTACTAACTATTAGCACTGTAACTTTTAATAATTTTTCCTGCATAAAATCTTGAATTAAATGAAGCAAGCAATCACTGCAATTTTCTAATATGAAATACAGAAATCTCCTCAAGCTCTATGTATTGTTATCAAGACAATGATTTCATTCCAACCATAGCATTTAGCATATAGCACATATTTAAAATGATCTTCTAACAATAGCAACAGTCTATTAAATGTTTACAATGTTTCAGCTAATGTGAGATTTTAGCCACTTCACGGATGGAAATTCCATCCATCATCCATCCATCCATCTTCTTCCTCATCATCCTGGTCCACGTTGCAGGTGGAAAAATAATCGACAGTAATCAATTATCCTCTTGACTTTCTAGGTAGACTGTTGCAATTCTTTTTTCATTTACATGGCCTTCAAGGCTAGGCGCTTCTTCCTGGTCCACAGGGGTGTTTGCTTTCTCCACATAGCTATAGATGTCTTCTTTCACCTCATGGCTGTTATCTTTTTGGATTCTCAGACCTTGTGAACTGCAGGCCTCCCCGGAACTCCCACAAGATACTGCTGGTTTAACATCACTGACATCCATCTGGAAAGTAAATGACTTTTCAGATGGCCCCAGCTTAATGTGTTTCTCTGTTTTGTTTATTTGATTTGTTGGTTCTTCTGGGGCTAGGTGTTGCTCTTGATCTTCACCTGCCACTTTACCATCCAGGCGTTCCCCATTTTCTTCGCTAATTGTAACTTCACTTCTGCTGCTGATTATTTGCTGTACACCTGGATTGCATGAGTGTAGTGCTGACAATAACTTTGCCTCAAAATCTTCCCCCTGCTCTTCCAGAAGTCCAGAGCCTTCCAGATTTTGGGAAATGTTAAGTTCTGCTACAATAGTCACTGTTCCACTGTCTTTAGCCTGCTGAACTTTCCTAATATCAACTGCCAAGTTACCAGAAGCTTCTTGATCAGTTTTTGTGAAAAGAGCCAACTCTTCCTTAACAGTCCCAGATATTGTTCCTTGTAACTGCCCCAAAGTCCCTTGTAAGTACTCCTTTGGATCCATATTGTCTTTTCTTAGGAACTCAAGAAGGGATTCCTGCACTGTGGGAGAGACATGAACTTCCTCTTCTATAATACAATCCTGGAAGCTGTCTCTAGGAAATATATGTTCACTTCTCACATAAGTAGTTTTAGGTAAAGCCTCATAGTGGTCATCCTTTTTAAATCTTTCGTTGATTAGGCCCCCATCCTGATAATACCGTTCATCTGATAAGTCATCCAACGCTACATAATGTCCATACGATGAAAGAGGAACATCATCCGTCTCTGAAATATCATCATCTGGTGTAGATACAAAATACTCAGTTTCTTGATCCTGGCTAAATAATGCAGCACCCTGGTCTCTTGAACTTTCTACAACGTGAACAGATCCAATCTTTTCATCCTCTCCTCCAGGAGTTACTGGAGCTCTGTTTTCTTCAAAGTGATCATCTGAATGTCTGGAACGCTCATCAACATTTGCAAGCTCCTCAATTGCAAAGAACAACGAAGAGGGCTGATTAAATTGACTTGTCTCCTTTACTTCATATTCCTCATTATTTTGAGAGTCCACTGGTTCCTCAACAATCTCAATATTGACCGATTTATTTTTAAGACCTTTTTCTCCCTGCAGACCAAAGCTAAGCAGATTTTCAATCATACTTCCTGTGGGAGTTCCCTTTATGTCTTCTAATACAACGTTCTTTACTTTCTTACTGAGGAATTCTTCTAGAACAGATTCATCTGAGACATCCAAGTCATCCTCCACCTTAGATTGCAAAATTATTTCAGTCCTGAGTCTTCCATGTTCCTCTTCTGATTTCTCCACATGGCAGGTTACCGTTGTATCCAAACCAGAAGGTTTCACTACTTTCTCAATGATCTCTTCTACAGTCATTGATTCCAGAACATTTTCTTCAGTTGCAAGTGGTCTGTGCTCTACATATGGCTCCCTAACAGTGCATTTCTTTTCAAACTGTGAACCTGAATTTGAAACTTGACTTTCAATCTTATTCCCAGCTAAGCAGTCTTCTGTCACTGCTGTGTTATCAGCGTTTCCCATAATCTGATCCCCTGCTCTGCTTTTCCCCTGGGTCATACTGACTGTGTCCAGGTCACTCTCTTTTTCAAGGTTAGTTTTTTCAACCTTTACATATGTGGTTCCCCAATTCCCATCATTTACATTTAAAACCTTGCTCACAGTTGATGGTGATGTCACTCTCACTGATGTGCTGTCCTCTGTAGCTAAAGAACCAAGCTTAGATCTGACTTTGAGGCCGGCCTGCTGGGAAATGACTGAATCATCAACTGAATGCCGTGACATATTGTTCATTGCAGTTTTCTCTTCTATTATTTTTTCCTGGGTGTGAACATTTTCCTCAGTATTCAGGACTCCTTTGACAACGCTAGTAGAAGCCTGTGGTGCTCTAGTGATTGAGAGCAGGTCCTTCTGGGATGGGGAGCTATGTTGACCCACACCATAAAATTTAATAGGGACTATCCTTGTGACACCAGAAGAAACTTTCGTATGTGATGTTGGTTCTATGTATTTCCTGTCAAAACTTATGTTTGAAGGCTTCCATTTTCTTCCATCTTGCCTGCTCATGGATGCTCCTTTTGTAGCATAAGGGTGTGGAGGCATCTGAATATCTAAGAAGGCACAATAACATCAGAATACAGTGTTTTATGGTCTAGGGTGTCTTTCTGATTGTTACATTACAAAAGCACACCTTACCAATTTTTCTAAATGGTTCTGTTGCACGGTGGTCTGTCCACACATACTCATCTGTATTCTCACCTTCAAGAAGTGCCCTAATGAAAAACAAAATACAAAGGTGAAAGAGAAACATCAAAGACAAAAGAGCTTAGAACCCAATGAACCCTTGTTGACAGTTTACAGAGATTGTTCTATTGGGCACTTTCCTGGTTTTGAGTTCCTGTGGTGTCTTGCCTGCCACTGTAGCTGTTGCTTTCACACTGCACAACAGGAACTGGGACATTTATGCTAAATAATCATGGGTGTACATATGTGTAAGTTTTATTGCCTTGTAAATAGTGTGTTGGGTTTTTAAACGCTTTTCGTCGACACACGGTGCAGGATGACGCAGAGTGTTGTAGAGTCTCCAGTACCTGTGTCTGGATAGCATGTGAAGATGGGGTTCTGTAATGCTTAGTGCACCTTACGATGATCATTCCTTGGTGAGGTCTGTCCTGGGTGACCGGAACCTTCACAACGTGTGTGGCTGCCCTCACCTGCCCATTGGTTCCAACATCGGGCAACTGTGACATCTGCATGCTCCACATGCCAGGCAATTGCTCAATACGACCACCTGGCCTCATGCAAACCCACAATGTGACCCCTAACAGACTCCATCAAGTGCAGGTAATGCTGTCTAATGTGTCTACGAGGCATCCTCTGTGTCTGGTGACTAGACGTGCCAGCTCCTTGCAAATCGAATTATTTACATACCCATCACTGGTCTGCTTGTGTACCAAATTACATCCAGATCAGACCATTACTTCTGGGTGCTTAACTTTTTCAGTCACTGAGTGAAATTACTACAATCCCATAACCGAAAGGTGCACATGAGGTATCAGCAGATGCCAGACCTGTAGGTGGCCACTTCCAGGCTTAGGCCCATCTTGATCTGCATGAGGTCTTGGTGATCTTTGAGCTTCTTGCTGATGGCATTGGCAAGCATCCTGCACTCCTCCTCCAGTTCCTCAATAATCACCTATAGGATTATAGAGGTCATTTTAAGCCACATGGCTTCCCTGTGATGTGTGATCCCCCCGTAAGAAATCCACCTAAAAGTCTCTCAACAGCGTAGTTCAATAAATCATTTTGCTGCAAACAGCAACATATTGACTTTAATACAGTGTAGAAACACAAGGAACTGATAAGCAGCTCAAATATATTTAGATTTACTACATTTGGCAGACGTCCTTAGCCAGAGAGACTTACATAAGTGCTTAGAAGTCAGTGAATTCAAAATAAGGACACTTCTTTACCCACCTCAATGCCCCATTAGACCCTCCCCAACAAGGTGCTGTGTATAAGTGTTGTCTGCTATCCTGGAGTGTGAGAATCCTGAGACAGGAATCAGGCAGGATAGGATAGAGATTTCCCACACTAGAGTCACACCAAGTGCAACAATCAGTCTTCTCAACAAATGCTCATTCAGTCGCTCATCACATTAGAAGTGCCAAACGAAACTTTCATTTTCTTCATAACTTTACCATGATCAAAATTTCCTGTCTGTTTTCAAATCATCAGCCAAGAATATTGGGGCATATTTAATATTTTTCCTTACACATCTATACAATTGCACACATTTTCTTATAATTTTCTTAATTTATCAAGATGACCAGTTTTATAAATAAATATCTTTGTTTTCAGTGTGTAAATGATTATGATCAGTTAGCCTGCTAGAGATGTAACAAACCGAACATTGCCACATCTTTACTGCACACCGACAGTGGAATTCCATCTATTTTCTGTGCCTGAACAAATTTACCTCTGACAGTAATGGGAACATATACCCAGTCTCTCCAGTGGAAGGCTGTCGGGTGTCTGTCACCTGCTGCGTCACTCATCTTTAGCAAAAGGAAACTGTGCTCATTGGCTGATGACAGTGGTGACCTCTCCAAATATAAATCAAGCAGACAACGTTTATCATTAAACTATACTTCCCATATACACTAAATTACTCTTGGAGCATGATAACCAGACCAAAATTGATATGAAGCTGTTACCACCTCTATAAAGATATGCCATTGTTTTTCAGAGAGACACTGAAGATGCTTTGAAACACAGATGGTCTACAAGCAATATGAAGTGTTTGTTTTGTAGGTCAAGAGGATTTGTGGTCCAGCTGGCAAATTGGATGAAGTGTCCTTATGTAGTTCAGTAACATGGACAAATCAGGCTGATTACTGCATGCTTTACTGTCAATACCAGTGAAACTATTTTTACTCAAACTAAAGAAAGGCTTTGAGTTTGAACAAAACACTACTTTTTAAACAAGAGACCAGGTTTCATTCTTTAAAAGCACCATTTTACATATTCATGCAGAAAAAACGGCTGATACAGTATCATTATTTGTAGATACGTATACACAAACTTTATGGATTATGCTTAAATATATATACACCACACACGTTTTATTTATATTGTGAGAATACTAATATACATTTGATGAATATGTATTTAATTTACTTCATCATCCATTGATTTACACACCATTACACTAACAAAGTAATACAACTGTCAGTCTTGCAAGAATAAACAATTGTACTGTCTGTAAAAACATTTCAATTTACAGAAAGACTGCTGATAAGCAAACAATTCTATGGGAGACTGCATAGTTGCCTGGGTTGTGGCCTCTGGGATAATGTTTTCTAACAGATTTTGGGTGTGGCACTTGAGGCTAAAAGAGCGGCATACTGCTGTTCCACACCAGGTAAATGTCATACCTATCCCTCCGTGTTCCACCCGTTTCTTCTGCACATATATTATTTCTATTCCGCATTATTATTATTCATTATTGTTATTGTTATTTTATTTTTACATTTTTGAAAAGTAATTGGTCTTTAGATTATTACACATGATCACACAAATATAAATTACCGACATCGCACTTAATATACAACTGTTTGTTAAGGGTAATATGATGGAAGAGAATATTACTTGCCCGGTATTGGTCCAGTTCCTTGGGAAAGCTAGCTTGCATGTTCCTTAGATGTTCCTCAAGGTGCACCCGCAATTGGTTTTGTTTCTCCACTTCGTTGTTAAGTTTCTTAACCTCTGATGTATACTGCATCTTCTCCTTCAGCAGATTTTCGAGCTTTACCTCGTCTAACCGGAGCGATTCTTCGATATCGGCAATTCTCTTGCAGTATACCTCAAAGGTCTCCCTCCAGGTCTCCGACAAAGTACGCGCATATTTGTCAAACTCTTCCATGCTGATTTCGGGGGGGTCAGGACGTTTTTGGATAAAAACAGGTAATGCTCCTGAATGAACCTGGTCACGAAACTGAGCGATTTCCCTTTTGTGGGCATCCTCCAGACAGTTGCACTCATTCTGAAGCTGGAGCAAGCGACTTTCTAGCGCACCGTTTGCTTTCTGAACTTCCCGAAGCTGCTTCTCAGAGGTTTTCAACTCCCCACTGATATCGTTGCGTTCTCCGGATTCTTGTAAGCGCAGTGCCTGAATCATCTTAAGTTCTCGACAGAGCTTTTCTCGCTCCATCTCTGCCTTGAACTTTTCTAAAGACAGCTGATCCACCGTTCTCCTGAGCTCTCGCAACTCAGCCATATGTTGGTTCTCCCATGTGGAAGTATTTTCACGCCTAACTGTGTTTATTTCTGATATAAGAAAGGCATTTTCTTGTTCCAGTTGCTTTACCCTAGACAGATACTGGCTGAGCCTTTTGTTTAGCTCCTGCAATTGAGTCGTTTCCTCCTCAAAGGTTCTCCTAAAATGAAACATTTTACTTATTCAAAACAGGTATACCCGAAAAGCAATCAGTAAGAGTTGCTCACTTTTAAACACTGTATTGGAAATGATGAGCACATCCAGCTCAGAAGTCCACAAAGTCTAATGAGACCGCAAAATCAGAGTAGTTTAAAAGAAGGTGGGACTTTAGCTTGCTCTGCCAAAGGTCATCTGTTCACAAATCCTTCTTAAAAACCTTTAATCGGTCTGTGATGAAACGGCACTCTCAAGTGGAATGCTACAGTCACTGCAACAAGGATATTCGCCCCTTTATAAATAAACGATTGCGGTGTAAGAAACTTAAAAATTATTTGATTCATATACCTTATATTCGCATTTTGATTTGGTTATTTCTGAATAAGGGCGATTCTAAGATTTTTAAGGTGGGGGCACAATTAAGAGGGACCACAAGAGCCATATAGAGAAAGAGTGGCGTCAACTCCGTTCACTCCAATAGACCTTTTTCACAGCACTGGCTCAACACCCAGCCAACAACTGTAGTTTCATTAAATACTAGCAGAGCAATGAGTTGGAGCAGAATACACCATCTGTGATGCACTTTAAAAGGGTAAGACGTATACAAATCAGTTAGTATATTATCAGCACCTCGATCAGTATCAAATTAACATGTGAATTAAAGTATTTTAGCGGATTATTCCCCACAAAAATCCTATGTATTTAGGAAACGTTAACAGTCTACAAGTCTGACGTTAACAAGTCTAAAATACTGGGATAAAGTTAGCGACAAGCCTATTAATTGTAAATTCCTTACTCTCAATGCTATTTCATCAATTTTTGTGCAATTAGAAAAAGTGCCTCTAAACGTGATTTTTTTTTTTGCAGGGTGGCGGATATAATATTGGAGCGTGTAAAGTCAGACAACGGTATAATATTGTGTGTATGTCACGTATAGTAGCCTATCATATGCGTGACGATCGGTGTAATATTGTTATTTCTAATTCTAACTTAATTGTAGGCAACAATTACTCCTTACATTTATCAACTACTACTGACAGCGATGTCTTTGTACCCATTTTAGCGTTATACAGCTCTATTAAATTTCAGCCATTGAACATGCTTCTCTGCCCAAATATGAGGGGGAAAACGATTTCCTGATATTCAGGATATTGTGTTCCCACTGCTAAAACAGACAAGCAGCAACTCTGGACCCAGATACTGATAAAACTTTTTTTTTTTTTGCAAAGAAGCATGTGAGGTGGCAGAAAGTCATTCAGATACACAATTAAATGTACATAAACTCGTACCATCAGTACATCGATCGTCAGGCATAATACAGGTTAAGTCCTACAAGCAGTATTACCCCTTTCTGTATTTTCCCGGGAATCATCTATTACCAGTGATTTAAATCATTTAATTATCTTTGAAACATGGAAAAGACACGTGATGTTTTCGCATTTATGGCTTATATTAAAACATGGGAGGAGCACTCCGCTGGCCAATCAAATTTCAGCTGGAGCCACTTCTCCTGTGGCTCCGCCCCTGTGTATGTCAGTGTTTCTGGAATCATAACAGTCCAGATAAACTACATGCAAATTTGATTTTTAGGGTACGTTGGACGTACCCTAAAATTAATCCTTTAGACTAGACGAGTGCATTTCGAAGGGTGTGTTTACGTTGGTAGCTCAAACTGCTTGAAGCGAAAAGCCCACATTTCTAATGGTCTCTCAAGAAGAGGTTATCGTGGTTGTAACCGGTACGCATGCGAACTTTCACTTTATCAATAGTAAAAAATAATATACATGCAATATACGAGTTTAAAGGTTACACAGCCGCCTGTCTTTTAAAAACCTAAATCCAACCTTCCGTTTTCAGGGTTTGGTCCTTTTAGTCAATACCTGGTAAATCTCAGCTGGCAGGCAGCTCAGGTAAGATAAAAACCCAAGGCCAGATGTATTCTTTGTACTTTTTAATTGATTGACATTTGTTTATTTTTAAGAATAAAAATAAGTAGGTGATTTTCTTATAGTGGTAAATTGTACCGATGTGAATTTCCTCTGATATCGTTTACCTGGTACGACTAGAGTCAGTGTTTTGGAAGTGTTGAAGTAGGGTACATTAAATGAGCAAAATAACACATTTAATTACTCTGCAAAGCAGTCGTACATTCAGGCTTGTGGTGCTTCCAGACAGAATGCACTTAGTGGTACATCAGTCAAAGTTGGTGAGTATTCTGGAGTCCATATCAAAACACCAGTTGCCACAGGAAGAAGAGCCAATGTCTTTCTGTCTTCTTAACCACACTAATGTGGCGTGACCAGCTCAGATTAGAGTTTGAAGCTGCTGAGCCTCTCTGCTCCTGTTCCCTCAGTGCGGGCATGTCCTTCCACCCTGCTGCCTCCATGGTCAGCTCCTTACTGACACTGAGCAGCAGGTTATTGTCCTGATGTCAGGGATCTCACCTCTGCTCTGTAGCCACTCTGTCTGTGATGCAGCCGATGATGGTGGTGTCATCTGCAAACCTAATGATAGCTAGAGCTATGTGAGGCCATGCAGTTGTGGGTGAACAGGGTGTACAGCAGGGGGCTGAGGGGCGGTGGGCAGGAGGTGACTCAGCACCACCTGTGCTCTGCCTGTCAGGAAATCCAGGATCCAGCTGCACAAGGAGGGACTGATGCACAGATCTTGAAGCTTCATGACAAGCCTGGACAGCACAATGATATTAAAGACGGAGCGAGAGTCAATGATAAGCATCCGCACATAAAGAGCAGCGTGCATTGCGAATGCTATCGCTTCATCAGTGGACCGATTTGGCCTGTAGGCGAACGAGTGGGTCAAGTGAAGTGGGCAGCGAGGATATGAGTTGGGCTTTAATACTTTCAAAGCATTTCATGACAAGGTGTCGTTTTTTTTGGGACTGGGATGATGGTGGTCTTCTTGAAATGTGGGGACTATATATAGGAGCAGTGAAAGGTTAAAAATATCTGAAGACAGCTGCCAGTTCAAAGTCACACGCTTCGAGAGCTCAGCCGGCAACGTTGTCCGATCCAGGAGATTTTTGTGCATTTATTTTTCCAAAAGATTTAAACACATTCAGCTGAGGTATTTGAAATATTCAGGAACTCCAGCGTGGTTCGGTTCTCAAATCAGGTGTAGGAGTTCAGCTCCTCTGGGAGAGAAGCAGCCCCCCCCCCCCCCCCCCCCACGCTGCTGGCCTGTCCTCTGTAGTCAGCAATGGTCCTTAGCCCCCCCCTCCACATGCACCTGGTGTTTCATCATGGTGTAACATGATACCACCTTTTCTTGGTATTGTCCCTTGGCCGATTTTTAAGTTCATACTGGGCTTTTCTGTGCTTACTTGTCTCCCAAAAACCATGTCAGCAATGTCTTGGGGTGTAACAGTGACAACCTAATCTCTCACATTGTTTACAACCAGGAAAAAATATTATATGTCTCTATTAAAAACTATGCCCATTCTATTCTCCCATTTGGGTATCAAAATGCTGCATGCTTTATCGCGACCAAAGAAAACGCGTTATGACTTTTAACTTAAATGCAATACATTTCCCAGCCCTAATTTTTAAATATTTTTTTCCCAGCGTTTTCATTGAATGGGCAGATGATTCCTCTTGGTTTAGCAAGGCTCACCTCTGGAACCCACACTGAGAATATGTGGAAGTTTAATTTCAGCCTATTTTAATACAATTCAAATTGTGCTTAGAGGATATTAAATTTAAAGTCGTTGGACTTCAACAGATTTTCTCTTTAACCCTCTCAAGGCAGGCGTTGCTGATTTGCAACAGTTAAAAACTAACTACCTTATTACCCCAGATACATATTTTATGCGTTTTTTTTTACTCAAAAGTACCACTGCAGGTCTTGGTTGTCCTTTAGCAACAAAAACTCAATTTGAGCCTGAAAGGGTTAAGGGTTGTGGTGTTTGTCGTTTTAGAATGTTTGCTGTTTAATACACTATTTCTGTGGTCGCTTTTTAACAGAGATGGTTTTTACGGTTTTTGTTCTTATTTATTTTTAAAATTTATTTATAAAGATAAGATTTGGTATTGCAAATTTTTTTTCCCCAAAAACAGTTGCTGAAAATGAATGTCTGATGAATATTGAACTTGTTGCACCTTTTCTCTGGCAAAGTGTGGCTGTTCATATCACTCTGCCAGGTACCATTTTAAAACAAGGCTCCCTTTGCCACTTATAAATGGTAGTAACTCATTAATAAAAAGAAAACTGTGTTATAACTTGTTTAAAATGGTTTATTAATAATGTTACAACCTAATTAATAACCAGATTATAAAGCATTCATAAAGCCTTTCTATGGGGAGCCTTATTGAAAGGGGGCACCCTCTGCCATGTGACAGGGTGTGCATAAATTTGCATAAGGTTCCGCAGTAATGTATTATTACTATGCCAGTCATTTGTGCAAACATTCAGAATGATACCAAGCTCTGAGTTAAACTTCCTTTAGGGTTTGGAAACTCTGGGTTTAGGAGACGATGTCATCGTCTGTGCCAAGGAACTGCCGGTGCATTACAGCAAAGCCCAGGAGCTCATAGCCCAGATATGGAAAACCATTAAGCCAAAGGTACCTGTCAGTTGTGCCCTTTGTAGTATAGGCATTATAACATTATGGCTTTAAAAATAAAATCCTTCAATAAATACATAAGTGCATATTATTAAATTATGACTGTAAACTCTGTTGTCTTGCTTATTATTATTATTATTAGAATTATTCCTGTTGTTATTGTTTTGAATGTATTGTATTAACCTTTTCATTAGCTGTACTAATGGGTTATATTTTCATTAAATCAATTATTAGTGATTGAAAACCCTCTAATTTGATCACTGAACTGATTTAATATAAGTAATAATAATAATGTAAAAAGTTTAGTATACTATATGGAATGCCATGGTTGTGAATAAAATGAAGTAAAATATTACCTTTTCATAAGAAACTTCCTTTTGAATTAAATGACGTTAACTCTTTGTCTAATGCACATCTCTTCATCTGTTTGGTTCTAAGTTGGCTGTCCACATGGGAATTGCCCCAGGGTCCCAAGCTGTAATCCTAGAACAGTGTGGAAAGAATCAAGGTTATAAACAGAGAGATGTATGTGGTGTCTGTCCCCCTGGCCACTGCTGTGTGGAAGGCGGCCAGGACATACTCCACTCCATCATAGACATGAAAACCCTCAGCAGGCACTTTCAGAGTTTGGGTTTGGATGTTATTTACTCCAGGGATGCTGGGAGGTGAGGATAAGTCATATTTATGTCTTCATCAGTATTATCTGGACCTAAATATGATTTAACTGACAGGGTTTTCTCCTTTTTGTGTGCAGGTTTCTGTGTGACTTTGTGTATTACTACTCACTGCACCTTGCAGGGGGGAAATCCGTCTTTCTCCATCTGCCCACAAGGGGAGCCCTAGCTGACTTGGACAACTTGCTGCCTCTGCTGCAAGCTGTCATTCTGGCTATGCTGGGCCAGCTGGAAGCCCAATGAATGGGGACATGTGACTGACTCATGTTCACATGATGTTCACACACAGACCAAGGCAATTGCCCATAGCTCATGGCTGTTTGCGTGTTGCGACAAGCTTACATTTCATCCTGCCATCCTGGAGGTAATGCCCGTCTATAACAGGGCACATATATACACACATGCAGTCATGCTCTATGAGTTATTTACAGACATACATTAGCTTCATTGGGAGGAAACCACAAGACCCAGAGGAAAACCACCCAACATGGAATTAAATGTTACAGTTCTAAATGTAGGTCTATAGATCTAGATCAGAATCAGGATTTGAACCTCCAACCCTGGAGGACTGAGCTACAGTGCCACCCATTCTTTGCATCATTTAGTTTAATATCCAGTAAGAAAAAATAATCATTCTTTAGAATTCTTACTATCACAGCAGCATCTTGTTCAGCAGCTATATGCTACAACTTCAACAAAAAAGTTACCTGTCTGTCTTAAATATTGAACAAGTCCAAAATGTAAAGGGGCCCTATTAGGTTCATTTTCACTGTTCAAAATTTTATTTTGGAGGTCTGGTATAATAGATTTACATGCTTCAGTGTTCCAAAAACACATTATTTTTCTCATACTGTACATCTCTATTCACTCTGCCTATAACTGTCTGAAAGCCTCTCTTAGAGTTTTAAGCCCCACCCCTGATGATCCCAGTGTGCCCTGATTGGTCAGTCAGCCCTGCACCTTCTGCCCCTGTTTTGCAGTCTGCTGACAGATCCTTGCAGCTAGGCAGCCAATAAGAATTGTAAAAAGGTTAGCTGGACCATTATTTCACAATATATTAATGATAATAATTAGTTTGCCATAAAAATCAATACATATTTACATTCTGATTGTTCTTTTAAACTGTAAAATCTTAACATTAGCCCATTAAATTGACCTTCTCGCTTATTCTCTGTCTTTTTTCTTGGGGATGAGCAAAATTACTTTTTTGTTACACAGTTTGCTTGATTTATTTCACCTAAGAGATTCATTTTCATTTGTTCACCAACTTGTTGTGTGGCATTTCTTGTTTGCATAAAATAGATCTGAAATACTTGTGTACTGACATTCAGGAACAAAGCCTATTATTTATGCTAAATAGTGCTACAGAGCAAGTTAAACACCACGAATAAGTCACTGCGGTGAAATCAGTTTTAGGTTGGATATCCAGCAGATATTCAGATCTGCACCTTCACACCTAGAGGCAGTCATTCGTGCACACTAGAGGCAGTCATTCATGCACACTAGAGGCAGTCATTCATGCACACTAGAGGCAGTCATTCATG